TATGAGATGGACTGATTCGGTGACTGGGGTAATCGGGATGGGTGTGTCAGAGGCGGTGCGGTTGGCGCAGGATAGAGCAGGGTTTAGGGCTGTTGTGCACAGGGTCACTATGAGTCGGAAACGACTCGACGGCACATAACAACAACAACAACAACAACAATATGGAAATAGAGCTCTGGTGGCCTAGTGGCAAGGAGCTTCATTGCAATCCCAAAGGCACTCAGTTCAAGGTCACCAGCTGCTCTGTGGGAGAAGGATGGCCATCTCCTCCCATGTGATTAATTGCTTCTGAAAACCCACTGGAGGGTCAGCTACGGGTCGGTTCTGACTCTACGGTACACAACAACAACAACAACATATGGAAATAATCCATTCATATGTCACTCCCCAAGGACAACACTCAGTACAGTTCCTGGCACACAGTCAAATTGAAAACTCAAAATTATTGTGAACAACTCTGAATCGACCTTCTATTGGGTTTCCATTAGGGAAGACACAGGAGAAGACTGTCCACTTTTCTCCTGAGGAGCTGCTGGTCGATTCAAACAGCCAGAGTTGTGCAGCCTTTGGGTTAGTAGGACAACTCCCTGTAGTTGGCCATCAGGGCTCCCCTGACACACAGTAGGCACTCTTCAAATTTAAATGAAAGCCAGGTCCAACTCCCCTGCACGATCTCTCCTGCCCACAATGACTTGGCCTTTGTTTCTATGGCACTCATCATTAGAATCACTCAATTTAGCACCTCGTAATGTAGCACTGTCCTTTTGTTTTCTTTTGATTTTTTTCAGATCTGCTCTTTCGAACATAGTTTTTTATTCTTTGAAAAGAAAGAAGATGCATTATACTGTGCCTGGTGCCTTGACAAGTTCCTAAATAAATACTACTCTTTGGGGTTGGTACCACCACTTACAGACATGTTGTGTGCTGTCAAGTCAGAACTAATAGCTGGCCCTCCGGCGGGTATTCAGAAGCTGTAAATCCCACGGGACATTACCCTTCTTTCTCCAATGGAGCAGCTGGTGGATTCAAACCGTGTGCCTTTGTGTTGATGGCAAAGCTTTTTTTATTATTTTTAAGCCATCAGAGCGCATTCCATTTATAGAGAACTGTTGATGAACCAGAAGGCTGGTGGTGCGGCGGTTAAGTGGTCAGCTAATTCAACAGCTTGATTAGCAGAACCCACCAGGGTCCCGAGAGAAAAATAAATAGCAGTCTGCATCCATAAAGACTTGGAGCTTTGACGAGCTTATGAGTCAGCTCTGCTCTGTTCTCGGTGGGTCTCCTCTGTGAGTTGGAACAGATAGGAAGGCAGTAAATTTGGGCTTTCAAGGGCTTAATCTCACCAGTGGTGGTGCCAGGGTCACATGTGAAGGTCCCCAGGTAGGCATCTCCATTACTTCTTTTCTGTCCTTGACTGAAGAGCTTCCCATTTGATTCAAGTTAATGGGAGGGGCCGGAGGAGGCAGCTAGGGTTAAAATTTCAGGTTTCTGTACTGTAGCAAAATAGTGAGGAAAGAGGTGGTCATGATGCCAGGAAAGAGTGGGTGGCGGGGAAGTGGGAGGGAGCCAGTTAGGAAAGGAGGAGAGAGGAGAACACATTCTACACATGACCAGGTGGAACCTGAACTTGACCTTGCACTGGAGGCATGGTGGTGGTGACTGTTACTGTGGTTAGTTGGCCATCTGTCCAATACAACCCACAGCACCCAATGAACAACCTTTCTGAACCCTGTCCTACCCTGTGCCGTCCTCAGATTCTCTGACATACTGGAGCCCAATGCTGCAGTCACTGTGTCAATCCATCTGGTTGTGAGTTAACTGCTAGTGGGAGTGGATTTTGCCTAACTAATGTGGACTCCAACTGCAAAATGAATTTTCTAGACTGTGACCTTTCCAAGGTGCCTCAGCGTGGGTTTTTACCCCTCACCATTCAGCTAATAGTCTAGGGCTTAACCTGGACGATTATGTACACATGGCGTCAGGACTTTATTATGCCACCAGAGTAGAATCTCAAGAGGCAGCCAAACGCATCCTTGTTTGAAGACAGAATGCTGCTCTTCATGTTCACTACGGACATCTGACACCCGAGGGGAACGCATGGCAGGAAGCCCCTAACCGGGAAGCAGCAGCAGGTTTTAACAAAGGGCATCACTTCCAGCTGCTCGTCCTGTCTTCAGGGTTAAGATGCTAGAGTCTGAGGCGGTGCAAGTGGGGCTCTGGGATGAAAAAGGGAGATGGGCTGGCTGACCTCCCAAGGTCCTTTCTCATCTCGTAATTACACAGCAGCAGCTGTCTTTTCCCATTCATGCGCCTACACACGACTGCATCCAGTTTGATAGTAAATCCCCCCAGGCTGGCTTTCAGGGTGAGTACAGCACCACGCAAGACACTAGCACTCAGCAAACGATGCTGGTATTTGTTGAAGGAAGGAATACATGAATCAAGTGTTTAAACAGTGCCCACATGACCTCCCCGGCTACAGAGTACAGTGATGAATGAAATCATGATCACTAGAGCCGCGTTTCTTTGCTGCTCGCTCTGCCACCGAATCACGTTCCCACCTGGTGACAAGCATGAACCACCTGCTCCGCACGCAGGCTGGAGTTTCCCTGGCAAGGAGACTCTTTCTCTCCACTGATTTTAGGACGTCCCTCTGGAAGGTCAAGTCACACCTGCCTCCCTGCCCCGTTGGCTTCCCAGCCAAAGTTTCTGCGGGGCTCCAGCTCAGGGCTTCCCCGGCGCGCGCCGCCCGCACTTCCTGCCGTCCGCTAGCGGAGCGCCTGGAGTGCGCAGTCGGCGCTTCCTCCCGCCAGGCCCGGAGCGCCCGGGGCGCCCGGGGCGCACAGCCCGCTGGCCCGCAGCGCCGCCCTTACCTTGGTGAGCTGAGCGATCTTCTTGCACATTTTCACGTGGATCTCAGGATCGCAGTCCATTCTCCAGCCCGCACCCCCGCGGCCGTCGGCTTTGGAGCCCGAGGCGGTCCCAGGCGGGTGCATTTTGCTGTGGAGTGCAGAAGCCATCACTCCAAGGCGGCGGCCCCCGGAGGCTGTGATGCCTAGTGCTCCCGGTCAGCCGTGTGCCCGTGCGTGCGCGCGCGGGCGGGCGAGGCCGGGGCTTCCCGGGGAGAGGGTGCACTGCAGTCCCACCGCGTGGCCCCCTCGCTCGCGGGCTTTGCGGGGACCCGCCCCCTGCAGCCGGGCGCCTGCGACCTGCACGTGCGGCTCGCGTCCTGCGCAGCGCGTGCTAACGGCAGAGCGTCCGCGGCGAGCAGCCGCGCGCCCGGCGAGCTTCCCGATGGCCGGCCCGGCCCTCCTGGACACGTGGGTGGCGCCGGGCTCCGCCAGACTCTGAGACGAGCAACCCCGCCCGAGCCAGAGCTGGCCTCGGGCCGCCACGGCGCACTGAGGGGCCCGGCTGGCGAGAGCCGGGGCACCTTAACCAGCGCGCTCAGCCCACGGCCCACCCGGTGCCTTGGTGCTCCGCGACGGGGCCCAGGCGTTTTGGAGGGGTGTCAAAAGGGACACGGGGACACACGAGCGATTTGGGGGGAGCGAAGGAGGTGCGGGGCCGGGGGCGCACAGGGTGAGCCTGCACTCCGGGTGCGGGAGCGTCCCTCCTCCCATGTTGGGGAGGAGCTGGAACATTGCGGGAGGATTGCTGGAGATCTTGAACAAAAGGCAGCAGGGCTGCAGGGGGGCGAGTGAGCGAAATCTGGGACGTGAATGAGAGAAGCTCAAGGAGCGCTGAGCACAAGTCACCGGGGAGGAAGAAGGGATGTTGGCACGTGTGGGTGCGAAAGCAGCTGAGAGGAATGGAGGGGGCAGCTGAGTAACAGAGCCAGTAGCCTGAGTCACCCAGCGCGCTGTAAGGGAAGCCACTTGTTCAAATCCACACTGCTGCTTCGGGTGCCTGGAACTACAACCCAGAAGACCAGGGGTGGGTTTCCAAACCTTCGTTTATTTGGTGTAGAGAGGGGTTAGTGGACCAAATTTCTTTGAGAATTCCCCTCTCCCTTAACTTCAAATAGCAGGTTTTGGAGAAATAATAATAGTATTCTCATCCAATTTTTATAAAGTGATAATCAATCTGAGCTTAGATGCTCACAGAAGTCACAGTGCCATTCCTCCACATTCCAGGGGGATGGTGTTATAGGAGTCGATTCTGTAAACAATAGCTTCAAACTTTGCCCTATCCTTAGCCAACCTCAACCATCTCTGACACACTTGGCCCTATTGCCGCAGTCACTGAGTCAATCCATCTCATGCAGGGTCTTCCTCTCTCGTGCTGTGCTGACCCTTCACCCTTCCAAGCATGATGTCCTTCACCGAGGACTGGTCCCTCCTGGCCACATGCCCAAAGTATTTGAGACAGAGTTTCAAAATCCTTGCCTCCAAGGAGCCACCTGGTTTCACACTTTTCAGGACAGACCTGTTTGTTCTCTTGGTAGTCCAGGGAATATAGCACTGCAGGTAACTATGCCCATTTGTATAGAGGAAGAAATAGACAAAAATTTGTACCAAGAGATGTTGTTGTTGTTAGGTGCCATCAGAACGACTATGACTCATAACGACCCTATAAACAAAAGATCTGAACACTTTTCCATCCTGTGCCATCTTCACACTTCCTGACACACAAGAGCCCATTGCAGCAGTCACCACATCAATCCACCTGGTTGAGGGTCTTCCTCTCCTTCGCAGACCCTCCACCTCTCCAAGGAATAACACCTTCCAGCAACATGTCCAAAGTATGTGAGGTGAAGCCTCATCATTCTTCAAAGAGAACTCTGACTGCGCCCTCTCCAAGATTTGTTCTCTTGACTGTCCACGGGATGTTCGTTGCTCTTCTCCAAGATCACAACTTCTCTCCTGTCATCTTCATTCATTGTCCAGCTTTCACATGCATAGCAAGTAATCAGAAAGATTATGGCCTGAATCAGACTCACCAGCCTCTCCGCAGGGAGAATGAGAAGTCTCTTCCATTGCAATGGAAACTGGCTGGAGGGTTAGCTATACAGTTTCAACTCGATGGCACCCAGCAACATTATACTGCATGAGAATGGCCAACCTGGGTTGTTTCTAATTGGTCATCTTAGTTTGTTAGATGCTCCTAGTGGAGTACTGGACACGTAGTGACCCTGGGCACATGAAGAGACACTGTCAGACCACCTGCCAGTCAGTACTGTGTGTGAGCCCATTGCCGCAGCTGCTGTGTCACTCCATCTTGTGAAGGATTTTCTTCTCTTTCTCTGACTCCCTCTTCTTTACCAACCAGGACGTTTTCCCCAGGGATGAGTCCCCACCAACTCGCCCAAGCATGAGTGATGAAGTCTGTCCATGCTGGCTGCTAAGGGGCATTCTGGATCTGCTTCTCCCCACGCAGGCCTACTCATTCTCTGGCAGCACAAGGTTCTTCACCAACATCCTACTTTATGGTGGTTAATTTCTCAACCATAGCCATCCGCTCTCTCCTTCAGGAAACGAAGGCCCAATTCTGGAATCACTGCTAAGAAGTTGAAATAGATTCTCGGGTCCTCCCTAAGGTCCCTGAGCCCAAGTGTCTGAGGCTAGAGGTCTGGCGAGCAATATTTTTTAAATTTCCTTCTTCCTTAACTCCAAATGACATATTGTTGTTGTTGTTATGTGCCGTCGAGTGGTTTCCGACTCATAGCGACCCTATGCACAACAGCCCTAAACCCTGCTCTATCCTGCACCAACCGCACTGCCTCTGACACACCCATCTCGATTACCCCAGTCACCGAGTCAATCCATCTCATAGAGGGTCTTCCCCTCCTGCGCTGTCCCTCCACCCTCCCAAGCATGATGTCCCTCTCCAAGGACCCGTCCCTCCTGGCAACATGTCCAAAGTATGTCAGACGAAGCCCCAGAATCCTTGCCTCCAAGGAGTAGCTTGGTTTAATCCTCTCCAAGGTAAATCTGTTTGTTTTCCTGGCAGTCCATGGTACATTCAGTACTCTTCTCCAGCAGCACAGCTCAAAGACATCAACTCTCTTTCTGTCCTCCCTAGTCATTGTCCAACTCTCTGATGCATAACAAGTGATTGCAAAGACCATAGGGGGGAAAAACTGGTTGGTTGTTTGTTTTTTTTTTTTACAAACTTTTGGCTTACATAGACATTCCCCGGAATTCAGCCACTTTCTGAAGTAGATGAAAGTTAATCTTTTGGGTTCAGAACTTTACCAAATGTTGTTCACTGGTTTGGAAAATCCCCTCATCAATGGCCATGTGGCTCATGGTATTTGGTTTCCAAGAAAAACACTTGTATTTTTTACTTTGCTGCTATGTTCATTCATAGTCAATGAAACACAGACATTCCTGTGGTACTCTCTGCTTTCAGCCAAGGCGCATCTAACATTAGCTAGAGTATTCCTAGTATCATGGCTTCTTCTAAACCCAGCCTGCATATCTGGCGGTTCTTCGTTGATGTGGTGCGCCAGGAGGTTTTTTTAAATAATTTTCAGCAGAATCTTGCTTGCATGTGGTATTAATGATACTGTTCGATAATTTCTGCACTCTGTTGCATTGCCTTTCTTGGGAATGGGAACAAATAGAGATTTCTTTCAGTCAGTTGGCCAAGTGACTGTCCTCCAGATTTCTTGGCACGACTTTGTGAGCATATCCAGAGCAGCGTCTGTTTGTTGAAATATTCCAGTTGGTAAGCTGTCAATTCCTGGGGCCAATTCCTTCAGAGGAGTTTGAACTTCTTCCTTCATCACCATAGGGTCTTGCTCGTAAGTTTCATGAAATTCTTCTGTGTCCACCAATTCCTTTTGGTACAATGACTCTGTATACTCTTTCCTTCTTCTTTTAATGCTTTCTGGATCCTTTAATATTCTTCCCAAAGCATCGTTAGGTATTCTGCTTATGTGAAACCTATACTTGGACCAGGAGGCAGTCATCAGAACAGAGCAAGGAGACACTACATGGTTCAAAATTGGGAAGGGTGTATGCTAGGGATGTGACCTATGTCCATACCTTTTCAATCTATATGCAGAACAGATTATCCAGGAGGCTGAGCTCTGTGAAAAGAAATATGGCATCAGGATTTGAAGAAGACTCATCAACAATCTGTATTGCGTAGATGACACAACCCTGCTGAAACTGAGGAGAACCTGAAGTTTCAGTGACTGGGGTAAAAGGGGTAGGTGTTTCAGAGATAATAAGATTGGCACAGGACAGAGCAGGGTTTAGGGCTGTAATATACAGGGTCGCTATGAGTTGCAAATGACTCGACAGCACATAACAACAACAACAACAACGTTCATAGTGAATCTACTCATATCTTTAAGCATCTGAGTACTGCATCATCATGAAATTAATCATACCACGTGATTTGTGAGCAAAGGAAGGACAGTCTCCTCTTGTGTGATTAACTGCCTCTGAAAACTCACTGGAGGGTCAGTTATGGATCATTTCCAACTCTATGGTTGGTAGACACAGCAAAAGGTAATTTAGCCATTAAGATGTATATTGTTTGAATAGGTTTCCTTGTATTTATCATTTATATTACTGGGGAAAAATTTTCACACATTTTGAAACTCTGTTACTACAGTAGAAGGCTCTGATTGACACAGAGATAATTGAGTACTGGGATGCTAACCGAAAAGGTGATTTGAACCCAACCAGAAGTGCCTCATAAGAAAAGCCTGGCCAACTGTTTCTGAAAGGCCCCAGCCATAAAAATCCTGCTCTTCTGACACACGTGGGGTCACCATGAGCACCAACTTGATAACAACTGTTCAAGTTCTTGAGAAGTAGTCATCTGTGAATTTCAGGATGTTGCGTGGATTTTTTTCAAGTGATGGTTGTTACTGATTTTTTTTTTTTTGTAATTTAAGGGGTTTTTTTTAGGTCTAAATGTCATCACATTATTCCCAAATAGGATAGAATATAATTGCAATTTTGTAATGGAAGCTAGGGAGAGCTCTAGTGGCCTAGTGGTTAAAAATTGCTGTGCAGTCCTGAAGGTACATGATTTGGATCCACCAGCTGCTCTGCAGGAG